TGAAGGCAGGTGGCTGGTGCATGTTGACGCTCCCCATCCTCCGGGAAGTGAAGGAAGGTTTGCTTCACCATTGCACCGGCAAGAAGACTGTGGGCATCTGCATTGTCGAAATCGGGCGGCATCCTGACTCTGGTCACTGCGGACCTCTCGGCTTGGGCCTCGTGGCCCTTGCGAAGTCCCCATGTGCAAGCCATGCAAACGAGATTGCTTGGGCTTGACCTTCGGGTTGCAATACAGAAAGAGGACCCCGAGAGCAGCACTAGAGTCTCGGTTGTAGTTTCATGTTCAAAGCTCTAACTATCGGCAGAGGCTGTGCCCACCGTAACACAGCGGCGTCTGCTAGCGTTAAGGGATTTACGAAGCCGCTTATGTTTCTCGTGTTGCTGGACTGTGTTCCATAACTCATGAGGGCTACCATCCAGGATGGTGGAACTTACAGTTGGCTGTTGGACCACCTCTCCACGTGGACACTGATTTTGCCTCGCAAACTTCCAAGAGCTGTCGTTCCAGGGAAGAACCACGGGGGTGTGGACCCCCAAGGTAAGGTGGGTTCGCTTGGGACGCATGACCACAAGCCTGCCAAGGGCATGATAGCTTTTGTCTGCGCTGGGGCCGCTGGGGTACGTAGGGATGCGGAAAGTACATTGGTTACCTTGTCGGGTCTTAGTGTCGAGTTCCACCTGACCAGACTGTCCATTCCTACCGTCCCCACAGAATGGCTTTCGGGGTTGCAAGTAAGCTCTTCGGGTGGAGTGAATCTAAAACCAGAACAGCCCCAAGTTGCAAACCACTCCAAATGAAAGTGGTCAAGACGCATGTAGGAGCTCCAAGCAGCCACATGTAGTAAGTTATTGATTCGGCTTGGAGGGGTGCATCTGTCCCAATTGCGATGGGAAGGCCTAGAAACAAGCGAGCCAAGGCACGCAAGATCTTGGAGGCAAGCAAAAGCTACGAGGGCCGAGCCCAAATCGAGTTCCAGCGATTCATGGCATGACCACATGCACACAGGTCATACTGGTTGAGTCAGCATTCCGAGAAGTGATCGACATCCTCTTGCGTCTTGGCTTCGACTTCGCCGGTGGTTCTTGCCCACACCGACATGGTGCACCTTCAGGTGCCTTTCATGCTCTTTTTCTGTTGTGAGAGCCCTGAATTAGGTTTAAATCAGGCATGAGCACGTGTTCCCAGACTCCTCAAGAGCCCCTCCTTCCTGGCATTTTGGCCTACCTACCGTACCGGCAGTGGCTTGTTGCTGGCATTTTGGCCTACCAACCGAACCGGCATCGGCCTGTTGCTTGATAAGGCTGGATGGTGGCCAGGGAGGGGCATCCTAAGAACTCTAGAATGCATCTCTGTGATGTTCTGTTATTATGCAGCAGGGGCCATCAACTTCTTGATAGCCCAATCGCCACCAGCACCCCTTCGATCGGCAAAATGCCGAGTTCGGTGCACAATCAAGGAATTAGGAAGACTCTTAGACGTGCCACCTCGTGCGCCCAGGGCTTCATCTACTAAAAGCTCAGCGTTCGGAGAACTGGCTTGCTTCGCCGGCCGCTCCGCATCAAGAGAAACACATGTAAGGTGTCAGTATGTGTACAGGTACGACTACACTATCTACATGATTGTATGGATATGGGGGGGGGATGTGTGCTGTGGACATACACTTGCTTTGTAGAAGTATCGACCTGCTCAGCTCGACACGGGCTGAGCTCCTGACCTTGCTGCAAGGAGCGCGGGCTATGCCTATAGCATTCACAAGCCAATGCGCCCCGAAATCCCGGAGCCACCACCCTGTATGCCTAACCCCCATCATCAAGACCCTAAGCCTGAACCCTGCACGCACCTGCTCGCACCTGCTCGCACCTGCTCGCACCTGCTCGCACCTGCTCGCACCAAAGCATTGACTAAAAGCCATGGCCTGCCAAATCGGACTCGAGCCTATTCCCCGCAACCGAAAACCGGACCGAAAACAGATGAACGATTGGCCTTTTTGAGCGCAACCTACAGTGTCAGAAAGCCCTAAACTCCCCAAAAGCTCTGAGGCTTAGGCCCAATTTTAAGGGCTTGAGCCTCTTAGCCCTTAGATACTGGGCGCAGGACAATGAAGAGATCTGCGCTGTGAGGTCCTCGGGGCTCTGCACGTGCAAGTCGAGACCCCGCGTGTGACCTGGCGTGAACGTCCACGGTTCTGAGGGCGCTGTAGCCATGGGCCAGGGGACCTAGAAACATTGTAACCCCGATCCCTGTATCTGACACCGAAAGCTGTCAATCCTCCACGTGTCTCAGCGACCAAGTGGACGCCACGCCGCAACCACAGCAGAGTTTTCGTTTAACGGATTTGGGCGGAAGAGCCACAGCTCTGCCCCCGACGGGGCACTCAGGGGGCCTCAGCGTCAGCGACAAGTCTTGAATCTTGAAGCGATTCGACCGAGAAGAGACGCAGACAAAGGTGATGCAGGTGATTCGTGAGATGGTGAAGCAGGGCACACCTTGACGGCACATCATTCGATGCAGTCGATCATCTGACGACCATCTCATCAAAGAAGGAGGTAGTTCGGTTGGCAGGTCTGGGGTAGGTACGAGTACGGGCGAGTCTTGAGTTCGGGCCCCAGAAGTCGAGAAACACACGAAACAGTCAGGGACCGCAAGCGTTGTGAAGCTGAAGGTGTCGCTCGACGTAGTGCTGGATGTCGCTGGCAGAGGTCGAGCCCGACTTCATCGTTCAGAGTTCCGAACAAACTGGCACGAGAACTGCACCGTGCCGGAGGTCAAGGGCGAAGGGCTGGCGCTGATCGGAGAGCCGCCCATGCCACCAGAAAAGGGGCTGAGAGACTGCGATGCGAACATGGCGTAGTGAATCTGGAGGTTCAACCGAGTGGGCTTCTGGAGGGTTCTCTAGTTTCATGTTCACGGTTCAGGAGGGGTCTCCACCATGTCTAGAGAACCCGATCCCTCTCCAATAGCGGTACCAACTCCAGAATCCAAAACTCACACCCTTCCACACGAATCTGGGTTGATGCGCGCCTATGATCGGCTGAAGGCTCGAAGAGAGGATCTGAAGCTCGTCCTCTCAGAGGGCTGGGTACCAAGTTCCTTTCTGAACGCCACAGATCGCGCTTTTGGAGGCCTTGCAACTTCATGAAATATTAAATGCATATGACAGCGTGCCTTGTGGCACCATGCGAAAGATGCAAATCGATGCCAAGATCGAAGGCGCTAACGCCAATGGTGGCTGTTTCCATTTCTAAAGAAGCCTCGAATCCAGGGGGCTGATCAACTAAGGCGCTACGTTGCTACATTTTCATCCAATGTAGGATCTTTCTTTATGCCAAAAGAGGCAGTTCGGCATCGAAATGTCGAAGTAAACTTGAGAAAACAAAACAATTGCTGCCGAAAGCCACGCGGGTCCTGGAAAAACATTGGGGAAACACTCAGCCTGCATTTTTTAGTGTCAATGCAGCTCTCCGGTAGCGGAAGCTTCAGGCCACCTTTACACCCCTGTTGGCTCCTGGCCCGATCCTGCAAGCCCATGAGGTCTTTAGACCGTTGCTTCTTCCCATGATTATAGTAGTACCATCGTCATGAAATTGTCATAAGGTTGTTCTGTCAAAACCATTTTCATAGTAATAAGAACCTGATCATGTTGATAATAATAGGCCGATGACGGTCCCAGGGGCTGCGTCTCAGGGAAACTGCAGGGCATGAAACGCCCGCCAACATGAACCACTCAAGCCAGTCCTGGTGGGGGGTCTACTTTGGGATTTCGCTGCCTTTTCTTCCAGAAAGTCTACAGCTTTTAAATTTTGGACTCCAAGAACCTTTTGGCCAACAAAAAGTTACGAAGGATTTTCGAACAACAGCACACTGCCGGCCGAGAGATATGGGCAAGAAAGACAGTCGGCTTTGTGAGTGGAGCACCCCTTATATACACCAAAAACACACTCATCTTTTTTTGATAGCAACCCCCACAACGGGGGGGAGGTACCCCTACTTTCGGAACCCGAAATACGGGAGGTCAGCCAAGAAGTGGGGGGAGCCGGTCCGTGAGCTGCTTCAGGGACGGGTCGCTGATGAGCTTCACGGTCTTGCAAAGACCTTGGAAGGCTTTGGGGTTTAGGGCTTAGGGTTCAGGGCTTAGGGTTTGGGGCTTAGGGCTTTGGGTTTTGGGTTTTGGGTTTAAGGTTTAGGACACGGGAACCTTCTCATGTGGAGAGGTTTTCAGCATGCTGGACCCATGTTGAAGACCCCAACTCTCTAAAGCGGCCAGGGATTGGAGGAGTTCCAAGTTGTAAGTGACTTTGGAGAACACTCTTGCGGAAATCTGCATGAAGTCTTGGGCAGGGCTGCAAGTGAGGATCTTCCTGGGATGATGGCAGGTTTTTCTGATGGCCCATGGCGCTGCGCCGCAGAAAGTCCGAGATTGACGCTCTCTGGATCCCCACGCCCAAGAAAGCCTCAACTTCGCCGAGCCACTTGGCTGCGACCTTTCCAGCTCCGCTTCGCGAACCGTTGCTTCGGCAGCTTCCTGCCGGTCTGGGGTCTGGGGCCTTTGGGGCCTTTGGGGGCTTTTGGGGCCTTTGGGGCCTTTGGGGTTCGAGTCCGTCCGCAACTTGAGGTTGAGGACATGTTCGGGTTTGGGAGTGAGGTATCTGTCCGTCTTGCCGCTGGTGGTTTTTGGGGCGGTTCGGGCACACAGCGGGGGGGGGGGGGGGGGGGTGAGCCTAAGTCCAACACAGTTCAGAGGGGCCTTCTCAACCAAGGAGTCGCCGATAGAAATGACGTTGAGCAAAGCGGGCGAGAATCCCACCTCTTCCAAGGGGGCCCTAGATTTGGGACCCCTGAGCTCCACGAAACTCGATGTGATGGACCAAGGCTCACAAAATCACAGCACGCTGAAATTCCTCGTGTGTTCTCCGAGTACAAGTCAGGTATGGGATGCGCTGACCGGTAAGGACTCATGATTCTCATGACTCCATGACGGCTTGTTGAAAAAGCTCCGGCTACTGTAACGTGCTCGTTTGAGAAGTGAAATCCGCCGGCTCCCAGGTCTTCTGGTGCCTGCGCTGGGTCCAAAGGCTAATGACGGTGATTGCAAGAACACTAAAGTAGATGGCGGAACCGGCCACGTCAACACGAGTGCCCCAGTAAGCGTACTCAAGGCCGACCATGAAGGCCCCCGAGAACAGCATGCCGCTGAAGCCAAGGAGCAAGGAAAGGCAGACCGTTCCTGCTAGGCCGCTGCCTGTCTTCTGCAAGACCTTCCACAGCCAGAGGCTAATTGTGACCACAAATATGAAGAGGACTGACAGCCTAGTCGAATCAAAGAAGAGCCACAGGAGATACTCCCACACATATATGGCATCAACATCGGCAGGTATCCTCGCGACATCTTGTATGTAGTACGGGAATCCTGCAACGGAGGTGCTGCAAACCATGTATAGCAGGTAGGGGACAGGAAGATGACCCGTACCCAACTGTTTGGCCACGATCCTGCTGAGCTTGGAGCGCACAGTGTGGTCGAAGCGATTTAATAAGGCTTCTTCTGAACCAGAACCGTTTGGGTACCACGACTGTAGGGTTGCATACACCGCCACACGATCGCACGGGATGTAGTCCCCAGTCGCGGGCACGCAGTGGTGGTGAGTGCAACAACCGCAGGAGGAATCACGGATACTGAAAGTCTTCAGTTGCTGTGGAAGTTGGGCAATGTCACGCATCAACCTCAAGCCCACATACGACTGCAAGCTCAAGAACACAAAAGCTATAGGCGCCAGTATGAAAGCAGCAGGCAAGACGGTTGTGGCCCGCCAAACCAGGGCGTTGGATGGCGCCGCGCTAAGGTCGTTACCATACGCGCTGCCGAAAATCAACCAAACGATTGTGAAGCTGTGGGCCAGGATGCCCATGAGAAAGACAATGACCCCAAGCGCAACTGGCATGATCTCAATGGAATCGGGCGCATCCCGGCTTCCATCCCTGAAGAAAGAGCCCAGCTCGTAGGTGCACCTCGCTTGATCAGTGTCAGACACTGAAGCAAAGAGCCAGCAGCGGTTGTGCTTTATAAAAGAAGGCCTGGTTCTGCTCCAAAAACGACCCCTGAGACGCACAAGCATTGCCATGGAATGGTAAAACATGCAACTGGGCGGAGTTATGCAACTACATTTTGAAACCCAAGAAACCCAAATGGCCTTGACTCCGGTACCTAAACCGACCTATCATGGACGCTGCCAAGCAATATACAAATGCAAGCCCTGCCCACGGACCATACACTCCGGACTTGGTTGGCAAGATGCCACAGGCGCGTGAAGTACCGTGGAGACCATAGGATCGTCAACTTTCTCGTGCGCTCCATGAACCTCATCTTTTGAGAAGGGGGCACTGCGTCCAGAATACAATGCTGCACACGCTGTTTCATGATCTATTTCGACCAGCCCCACCCTACAGCTACTTGCCGTGGGAGCCATCCTGCCGTTCTCGGACGGGTAATTCCGCCACAGCCTTCTGTCGCGGGACTCTCCACAGAATTCGCTGAGGCACAGTCAAGAGATACTCGGTGGGAGTCTCTGCAGGCTACTCTGAAGAAGGCAGTCCACGACGAGGCGGGGAGCAGGGTTGACTTAAGATCCAAGGGCGGGGAACAAACATCCTCATCAATTTTAGGGTTTAGCTTTTGTGCCACCCACATAATAGCTGGGCGAGTCACCCCGCAGGGAATTCAACTTGGTAACAACGCACGGCTCTGGGAAGCCCTTCCCCACATCATTGCTGAGCAGTTGCCACGCGGTTTTTATCCTTCTTGTTAACTTGGGAGTCGCCTTCAGCTGTATTGGCTGAGGCACCCCTTGTCCCTTGCCGCTAGCACGGATAGCCAAAATGCCAAAAGGTGAATCATACCAACAATTTGGGAGGCTGTGAAGTCGAGAGAGCTCCGTCATTCGAGTCCTTTCTGCCGATGCCAGCCGCATGACTTAGATTCTAAGATGTGCGCAGCCTTGCGCTGCAGGTTCCCCTGCCTGCCTTGTGTATCTTTCAAGGTTTGCGTGGACAGGGAGGGGGCGAAAGTTGCGGCCCCGAGCCCTTCCCAGTCGTGCCTACACTGAGCATGGTGTCTGGCCTCCTGCACAGCTGGGTCACACGGGCTGCTTGGGTTTGGGCACAGCCAAGGAGCGCTGCTATCCCCATGATGCCCTGCATCTTCAGATCGGGGTCGTCCTGTGCAATGCACAACTTGTCCATGAAGACCTGGGGCAGCTGAAAAGCCTTCCGCTTCTCTCGTTTCCAAATGGAAGTATCCTGCCAGACTGGAGGTAACTCCGAATGACATCCTATACATCAACAAGCTAAAACAAGCCATCCGACAGGCCTAAGCCCACCCCAGCAACATTCCAGTCTTGTGCCGAGGCTACCAAAGTAGGCGGAGCGATGAGCACTCGAATGCGCTGCCAGAAACCTGGCTATGATGGAGACCATGACACAGCATCCTGGTTTCGGTGGTTTCCAAGCAATAGAATTGTCGATTGCCCCCTAGCTACACGGCAGCAAAAAAAACCATCAGGCTGGCACTGCGGCAAGCAATCGGCACAGAAAACCTTCAGTCCGAAGTTCTGCCCAGGCGCAAAGGATGAAGGGGAAGGTCAGAAAGCCCAGAGAAGTTGTCCAGACCTGCCGCCGCCAACCCATGACCAGCACCACGATGGACTCTATCAGGCTCACCTGCCCAGAGATCCGGCTCAGGGAGGTCTTCGATCTTTGGTCCGCGAGGACTGCCGACAAGGTCCTATTAGTACTACTGCTTCAGAAGACGACGACAACTCACCACCACCACCACCGCCACCACCACCACCACGACGGCAGCGACGACGACGGCGACAGCGGCGGCCGTGGCCACGACCAGAACAACTACTACTATCACCACGGCAGGTTGATGAAGAAGCCTCTGGGAAGCAACTTAATGCGGCTCCCTTCTATCAAGCGACCCCCCCCCCAATAGTTGTCGAAGCCCGAAATTCTGCTGCCGCTTCTGCTACAGCCAAGCCGCCGCGGCGGTGGTGAAGAAGGCTGCCCTGGAGTTGTACATGACCAGCATCGTAACGAACTTCTTCCAGCGCGCAGTGCCTGAAGGTGCTCCAAACTATTCCCTAAAGACCAAAATTGAAGCCCTTGTCCCACACCTCAATTTTCCAGGCATGGGCAAGGTTGAAGTTGAAGAGAACTCGGCGTCAGGTTCCCAAAAGATATTGCAGACTAGGGCTGACACACTTCCGAAAGCTTAGCCTGTTGCTGATACACTGCTACACTAGAGTCACCAGAGCTTGGAAATGGAAAGATATATGTATATATATATATATATATATATATATCTGCATCCCCAGGCTCAGGTGCCCGTGAAAGCACCCATGGCCTTATTGCTGGGGCTCAGGTTACATATCCAGAAGCTCGGTCCTCGAAACAACACCGATCCAATCACTTCAAGACCACCCCTCCAGTCGAGCTGAAGCTGCCCCAATCATGCGAGATGAATTCGGCGAGCGAAGAAGCTTCCTGGCTCCCCACTTCCCCAGGAGCCGTTTGGGGCTTGGGGAGTTGAAGAGCTGTGGGACGTCCCGCGTGTCACTCATGGGGGGTGACCTGATAAAACAAAGACACCTAAAATGGAAACCGCGCACAAGACCTGGAACGGCATGTCATCTAGGACCGCGTTCAATCCTCGACCTTCGAACCTCCTCGAACCGCTTTGGGCGGTCCTGGCTCATGGTCACTGGCGCTGCAGAATTGCTGGTCTTCCAATGCCTTCCCCACCCTGCCTTGGCTATTGGCTACTACAGATTGTGCTTGGTTTGGGATGGTTTCGGGATGCTGTGGGGCTTAGGGCTGAGGCATTCATTCCCCCTCCCCCCCACCCCAGCCCACCCCAGTCCCCCCAAGTACCATGGCACCCCTGCACATCAAACCCTGGCAAGTTGATTCCGGCAATAAGGGGAGGGTTTACGGCTTCTTCGCTGCCGGGGTTTAGCAACCCGCATGTTTGCCTCCGCTTCGCTGAACCGACGTCCACTGCTCACGGCTTTAGGGCCCATCACGCATGGAAAAGTAGCCAGGATGCCAAGCACAGATGCAAGGGCACACCACGTAGGATGCCCTCATCTACGCTGGTTGGCAGCACGCCCCTCGGAAACCGAATCGCAACGTGTTTACCCTGAACAAGAGTGCCAGCCGTCGGTAATTCGGCATCGAAAAGAGCAAGTAACCCTAGGCCTTCCTGACACTCACAGCCTACAACCCTAGTGCTACGTGGAACTCCCTCTTTGGACAGGACAAACTGGTTGACACTCGCAGGATTGACCAGGCTGCGGCTTGGGGACGAGGAACGGTTTCAGGTTTCAGGTGGCTCGGGGCTTGGGGAGTCACGCAGCTCCACGCCTCGATGAGGCTCTGTCTCCCAACGTGGGACGGCGAGTTGCGCTGCGCGGCTTCAGTGCCGGAACCATCCGCAGAGGCGCCCAAAAAACACTCTAAATCTATCAACTCTTCATTGCCACGTTCCACGCGGCTGGGTGAAACTTCCATTGGACATGTCGAGAGAACACTGCGGCACAATTCATGTCCAGCGTGCTTGGGGGATTCGACTGAGCTGGGTCGGGGTGAATGTCTAGGCACAGTCTCAGCAAAGGACTCAGCCCAAACCCCGAATCTTCAGGCTGATGCAGAGGGGGCCTGTAGGAACTCGGCCATCGCTGCCTGCTTCATGCTGACCTTGGGATCCTTCGAAGGGAAACGCTTCAAAGCAACGGCCAGTGGCATCCCATGGAAAGTGAGCCTTAGAACCCTTCGAATGCGCTACGTCTGCGTTCGTAGACTCAGCGCTTGGCTTCTTTCATCCAAGTTTGAGGATTCCGGTTACAGCTCTGCATCTCCGCTCTGCAAAACTGGGAATGGATATAGGGCGGATACGATCCCTTGCTGGGAGAAGCTCCACAGGTTCCAGGCCAGCTCCTTGCCCCCATATGTCTGATAAAAAACTGATATAGCTGATGCCGAGCCTCTCAATTCTGTACATCCGAACCCAGTCAGTCCAACCCATTCCCGCCTCCTCTTCAGATGCGGATTTGTTCTCATGCTCCGGGGCATAGTACCTGTCTTCTCTGCCACGCTGTGCAATTCGGGTTTGGGCCAGACCCCGACTTTGGAGCCTGGAAACCTGACACTTGAAAGCCCAAGCAAAAACGATGTGCGGAGGCTTTGATTTGAAAGTTCCAGTGCCCTGGGGGTCAAGGGCCACGTTGCCAAATGAGGAAAAACACCAAAGTGGAGGCGCACAAGTGCTTATTTTGCATCACCAAAGAAGTTTATCCGGGGTCTTGGGCCAACCAAGGCGAAAGATCTTGAAGAGCTGTAGCTGCAGGCTCCAGTATCAGACGCCACCAGAATTCGTGGAAAGAAACGTTTCCTGACATACCTTTGCGTCGCCCCGACACCATCTCATGTTGCCAAGGTCACACAGGAATCTGCAGTTCCTTCAGAAGCTCGGGAACGTCAAGTCCTTCGAGCAACGACTCGAGAATTGCACACTGTACAGGTGCGAGCAATCAGCTCCGTGCTTCTCCTGTCGACTTCCATGAAGGCTACCGTTGATGTGCAACATGCAAAGGGTCGGCACGCCTGTTCATTTCGTTAACCAACACAACCCTGGCAAGCGTCGTGCGGCTTGCGCAGTTTGCTGCGTTGAGTTGTAGCAGTTGGAGTAGCTGAAGTAGTTGCAGTAGCTGTAGTAGCTGTAGTAGCTGCAGTAGCTGCAGTAGCTGCAGTAGCTGTAGTAGCTGTATTAGCTGTAGTAGCCTGCTGTAGCTAAAATAGCTTGCTGTAGCTGCTGTAGTTGTAGTTGTAGTTGTGGTTGTGGTTGTGATTGTGGCTGTGGTTGTGGTTGCAGTTGGAATTGTAGTTGTGGTTGTAGTTGGGGTTGTAGTCGTGGTTGTAGCTGTGGTTGTAGTAGTGGCTGTGGGGGAGGGGGAGGGGAAGTACCGGTAGAAGTAGCAGAAGTAGCAGCAGAAGAAGCAGTAGACTCAGTAGATGCGGCTTGCACAAAAAAATCAAATTTGTGTGATCACTGTCATGGTTGGCTGCAAAACAAGTCATCATCTGATCTGACGGGGGAACGCTTCTCGTGAACCAACTGCACATGAAGAGCCCCAATACAACGCCCGGAAAGACACAGAGCGCCAGAGCGCAGGTCCTGGAAGGTATTTGTCTGCTGACTCGAATACCCACGGCCTGCACGACACCATATGAGACAATGTTAGCATCTGCGGCCTTTGCACCCTTAGAAGCGGTAGTCATTTTGCAGAAGGCAAAATACTCTGCATGAAGAGTTGAAGGATAGGTCGGTTTGGCTTTTGCACACGCCAATGTGAACGAGCATACCCTCGCAAGACTCCAAGCCCTCGACGTCGAAGTTGTGTCACTGCGGCTGGCTGAAGAATGCTAGACGACTGTCGGGATGTCTGTTCTTTTCGGCCTCTCTGACAGTGTGACGATGCCCACTCGGTGAGCCGCGGCCTTCGCAGCACGCAGGACCTCAAGGCGAACTTGGGGGCTCTTGCCACAGCTTCAACCACTTTTTGCCCGCCCCCTGGGTGCCTGTTCCACAACAGTGGCGTGATGCTTGATGGCCGCATAGCATGGGAAGTCTGGGGGCAATCCTGGCGCTCGGGCTTGGCGAATTGAAACTCATGGAGGCAAAAAGGGCAAGCTTTTGGGTTGAGGCTGGCTTTCATCTTGGTCCTAATCCGGCGCTAGGCCTTCAACTAAAAACTTCTTCTCGGCCCCAGTGCCGTTCCAATCTGCCTTAGGAGTCGAAAGGGTAGCACCTCAATGGAGCATAGTCTTCATGACTTTTCATGCTCCCTGCCGTTTAAGGGCATCTGGCCGACACTTTTTCAATTGACACTGATACTTCGACATAGGGTTTAGGATGATGTAGCCCTCGTTGCAAGAAGCTCTGCGCCACGCCTCGCGTCTGCGTACGCTGCTTGGAGGTCCGCGAGAGCGTCCGTCTTGACCTTGCAGCCTGCTGCAAGTTCATGATCTTTCCCGTGTCGTACTGTTACCTCAGCCTCGATTGCCCGGTTTTACTGTCTCATACCCTTCCATTGCAGAACAATCCGCACATTCGGGACACACGTGCAAAAAAATCCAGACTGATTTTGGCAAGGCCACATAGGAGTCAACTGCTGCAAAACCAAGACTGAATGTTCAAACTGACTCGACCAAATTCCCAAATCTCCAGGCGTGTTCAACATATTAGCCTACTCGACAGTGCAGAAACGCTGTGGGTTCCAACCCTAAGCCCTAAGCCTTCTCTTCTTGCTATTCTGCTTCAGGGCGTTGAGTCCTTGCAGCATGTCATCGCACCACTGTTCGTCTGAACTCTCACGTGTAAACCGCTGTGCCCTTCCGTTCTTGCCCATTGTTTTCATGTTTCGCTTTCACGGGGCGGGCGTCCCCAGCCCGGGACTGTCACTTTTGCTTTCTCTTCAGCAATTCCATCCACGGCCCCCCAACCCCCCACCGTACAGGTTGTGCATCCCAGCTTGTGGCTTGAGGTTTGGGGTCGACCAGAACAACTTCCCTCTGCCCCCCTCCCTAAACGAATCGATCCACCTTCCCCATACCCCGGCACGAAACTCAAATCTGAATGCGTCAGGCAGTAGAATCGTGCCAATCCAGATAAATGCACGGTCTCGGGTCGGTATTGAAGGCCCCATGGAAGAAACGTTAAACTACCTCCGGGTGCTCGCCCAAACCTCGATGAGACGAAAGGAAATTTTCGACATTTGTACTTTGCACGTCGAACTTTCGCCTCACCCTCCTCCCACACCTGGCCTGCAAGCCTCAAGCATCACTCAACCCACTTAGAGCCTGCAACCTGACATCTAAATCCGCTTGAGATGTTACAATCGAGTTTACAGCAAGCCCGCCGAACGTGGCTGTTGGCCTGGCCTGCCCATGCAGGTCTGGCAAGGCACAGTTGGGCGCGCACATGCGTGCAGCCTTGGTGGCATAGGGCTTCTGTGGACAGAAGGCCTTCCTCCAGCAAGGTATTCATGACACTCCTTCCATAGCACACATCTGTCTCCAAACTCGGTCTAAGCTTGACATGTGGAGTTCTTCGGCCCTACACCTTCAAAACACTTGGTGGGGTTGTGGGAATTCCTTCGGCTCTACTGGAGTAGAGAGGCTTCTTCGATGAAGCTTGTTGGAAGAAGCGTGTCGTCCCAGTCAAAAATGATGAAGGTCTCCTTGGGCGAAGAATTTCAGATCAGCTTGTCACCCGCATGCTGTTTCAAGCAGCTGCGTGGCTTGTGGCTTGTGGATCAATGATGGGCACACAAGCGCCAGAAAACAGACCTGCCATATCAGCGCATCATGCAGAAAAAACACGTCGAGTTGTTCGTGGCTTAGTTCGGTCGGGACGCGGGCTCGCTAATTTCAGCTGGAACCGCGTACTGTCTTATTGAGCTGATCGGCTTGATCTTTTGCAAGGGGACGATAGAACTGAACAAGCCAAACGTCTGAGATCCGAAGCCAATCAATCGACAAGGACTCCCTCAACCCCCACATACACTGACTGCAGGTCCAGCGGCGCTGGCGCCCGGTTCGTGCAACAGCGCTGGCTCTGGATGAGGAGATACCTTAAAACTGGCTTCACACCGTGCGGATTCCAACTGCTTCGACCCTCACCGCCTGCTTCTTGCAGCTTCAGCATGCTTGTGATTCTTATTCTGGTCAACACTCCGAGAAGTGTGCATTGGCATGCCTCTCAAGAAAGGTTGTGGAGAGGCAACTCCCAGCAGGAATGGAAAAAAAACAACATGAAACGACCACTGCTTCCGTGATTACATCTGTACCCCTTGGGAGGCTCGACCCACGCGGCTATGTTCTCACAACATAGCCGACAGCTGTAAACCCTAGAAACCACCAAGCAAAACGCTGATCATCTCAATCCAAAATTGCAATAGTAAGTTACCATATACAATATTCTAGTACTTAGTACATCAATCGGACCCTTGTGAACCTCGGAAGCAGTGGAGGTGCAACGTGCACCTCTTCGTCTGCGTAGCTGGTACTACCTGTGGCCAAATGCAAACGGTGATGCAGCAGATCGGAATTCCGCAGAAGAAGGTTTCGAGCAGCTCTGAGAATGTCTTTTGAACTCCCAAGACGGCAAACCCCTCAACCCAGAACAGATCGTGTCCCAGGTGTGCTGTAAAACTATGCGGGGTCACAGAAGAACTTTGTACAGAAATATCGAGTCTTTTTGCCTCGAGCATGTACATGACAGGGACGCAACCTTGAGCCATGCCGTAGTGTGCTTCTATCGGTGTCCCTGCCACCGCACTCGGGCACACACATCAACGCAAGTCACACAACGAGCCGCTTAGATGCGGCTCTCAGCTCGCCAAACAGCAAACATCAGGCCGATTCCACTCACAGCCCAGTTGAAAGGCAGAATTCGGCTCACACTCGATGGGGGGGGGGAAACCGACAAACCACAAGTACTACGACGGCATGCTGCCCGAAGAGACGCCAAAGATCCAAGTCATCATCACAAATGGCGTGCATGGAACGACTTCTCCGAGATCTTTGTCAGCTAAGCCCCCAAACTCTAACCCAAGACGAGGCGTCCTGCAATGGTGCTGCACTCGGAGTCGTCGCTGCAACAGTGAAGGGGAAGTGATTGAGTTCCTGTCATCTGAAGCGAGGCTGGAAACTGAGGAGAAACAGGCACCCAACAGCGTCCTTTCTGGGCCTCACAAAAACACACTCCAACCTTCATCTTTGAGTGTTCAAGCCCACAAGCTGTCAAACGGCCCCGAAGCCCAAAAAACCCGACCTTGAAGCCCCAACCCCCACTTGAACGATTGTGCAATTGCTAAAAACTTGGTCCCCAGAGTAAGAGGCCCCCCGAGACAGCATGCTTGTGACCCTCGTGCCTGACAGCGCGCCCTTCAGCTCGGCAGCTGCACTCATGACACTGACTAGGTCCTGAGAAGGAGCTTCGAACGCTGCTTGCAAGCTCCTCCTGGTCCTCTCCCTAGGGATCCCTTTAAGGTTTGGCGGCTTGGCGAAAAGATTTCGGAAACATGGCTGCTTTTTTAGGATTTAGGGGCTCTCTTCTTTAGGGCTTAGGGGATGGGACTGAGGGAACGAAATTAAGGGAACAAGTTTCGTGTTTTAGGATTTAAGGAACCCTCTTTCTTAAGGAACTTAGGGAATTAGATTTCGGTTCTCTTTTTCTGATTTAGGGCCCTTTTTCGGTAGGAATTAAGGACTACCCGCCTTATGGCTTATGCAATAGGATTTGGGGAATAAGATTAAGGAAACACGATTTCGGTAACAATAAAGATCTAGGAAATAGGATTTGCCCTTTAGGATCTAGGGGCTCTCCTCGCTAGGATTTGCGGGCGCCCGGAATAAGGGAATGACATTGAGGGAATAAGATTCAGGGATCCCGCTTTTTAGGATGTGCACAGAACGGCGTTCAGTATTGGAATGTTGACCTTCAACTTTCAACGTTGAATTTCAACATTGGGACCGGATCCAAGATGACTGAGAAAAACGTTTTTAAGCATGAGTTTCAGCGACATCTCGAGACTTTATCACTGAGAGAAACCGTGAGCCCCGACTAAAACCTATTAAACCGATTGAATTTTCAATCGGGGCCAGGATTTAAGATTCAAGATTCAAGATCCCAGGAAAGTTTCCACCCTAAACCCTACACCCTAAGCCCTGCAGGGAATCTTGAATCTGGAGCCTTGACTCCGGGGCCCGATTGCAATTTCATCGGCTTAATCGGCTTGAATCGGGATACGTGGGTTTACTGCAAGCCTCCTAACCAGGGCTTTCACTTCTACAAGATCCCTCGTCACCTCAGTTGGGCATGGGATTCCTGCGTATCTAGGCCTTCCTCCCCTGAAAGTATCTTACGCTAGCCCCCCCCCTTCAGCCAACCGCCAAGCGGCTACGTTCGGAGGAACGGGGCCAGAAGCTAATCTGCTTTACAGCCTCCAACGTTTGGGAGACGCCCGAAAGGGCAGGAAAATCAAATGCAAGAGGAAGACCAGGATAGAATTATACAGGCGCCTCAATGAGCCGGTGCGCACAAAAGGAACCAGAACAGAAGGACTCGGCCTACTGATGGTGTACCAGATGGTGTACAAGATGGTGTACAAGATGGTGTACAAAATGGTGTACAAGTATACGATCTGAGTTCGCGCACCGGCCGGCCAAGCGGGGCTGCTGAGCCACAAAGGCAGCGGGGAGTCGCCCGAAGGGGTGGGTTCCGTCAGTGCATATGAGCCTTGAGCCGCATCTGAAGACTACGGCTGCGACTTGAGACACATACCCGCAACCAAAGCCAAGACTGCCAGAGCAGATTCCGGATGTGGGGAAGTGCTAAGTTTAAGATCATTGGCTTCAGATTTCCAGCTGGGCAGCCCCGAACGACACAAAAGCCCACAAGCAAAGCAGAGCAGAGCAGAGCAGAGCGAAGCGAAGCGAAGCGACTCTTCTGCATGCCCAGCCACCATTGAGTCGTGATTGAATCTCGCCATCGCTTGGACCACCTGTCTTCGACTAGGCATGCCACATGCACACTCAGATGGGAAGGGAGGGAGGGGGCGGGGTGCACCATCGGGGAGGGTTTAGGGTTTAGGGTATCGGAAGTGGGAGGACTTTGTTGGTATCCCTGTGACCTACTTCACGATTCAATTGCTGCTCCAAAAAATCTCTTGGTCAGAAAAGGTTAAAATCCCAAATCGAAGGAACAAGTCGTGTTCGAACAGCTGTCGGGTGCTCATACCTTCTCATCTTGTGGTAGCGACAGCGAAGGGGAGAGAGGAGCAAGGGAGAGTCAGTGAGGGAGAGGGAGGTGGGAGAAGGGATGAGAAGGGGAAGGAGAGGTGACAGTGCTGGGAAGGGCTCTGAATTCCCCCCTTTCCGCCGCCATGCAGCTGAGGAGAAACGTCTGAACTCTGAGTCATCACGCGGGGAAGGTGGTAGTGTGGTGCTTGCACTGGCTTGCACCCTGAAAAACAACCAGCCGCCAAGAGCGTGCCTCGAAGAAGTCCGTGGCCGGGAGCTGGCTCAACCTGGAGCTGAAAAGGAGAACTTTCGCTTTTCCAGAGCAAGGCCCCAAGGATCCCGTCTCGAATATGCAACCTTGCGGCAAGTGAGGGATGGAGTCGAAGTACTGCACCGCAGGGAAGCGGAAGTAGTCAGAGAAGCCAACCTCAATGCCAAGAACGCTCCAATGTTCCTGGGTCGTTCTACACGACTTCACGCATTTTTCCTGTATGGAACTCATCGGACCCTTTTCGCCCACAGCACGGACGGCGGCCGCCCTTGCTGGCAAACCTCGCGCTGCCCCCTTGCCATGAACTCGTGCGGTTGTCGGCGCGAATCTCCGCCACCTTGCTTCGCCGCGTGGCCCCGAGTTTCTCTGATGCCGCCTTCCGCAGCCCAAAGGCCGCGCACAAAGAGGCTCTCGGCGTTCACCGTTCACCAAAGAGTCGGCGCGGATTCCCCCAACTGGAGTGCTCAGCAGCAGGCGTGGGAGAGGCCTGCGTAGGACATGCACACGGAGACATCCACGAAGGCGGTCAAAGAGCACCTGGCATCCAGAACGGTGACTACAAAGGCTTCGGTAGACAACTCAGACAACCGAACGCGAAGCCAATTCTAAACGAAGAGAGGCCGTCCTCTCAGATCTCAGTTCTCCAGTTCCGTCGGCGGCTCCCAGTACAACGGCAACCTTGGCTGCGAAGCTACGAAGCACTGGAACCTCGAAGTTGCCAAAGTCTTTCAAAGCCCGAGTACACGCAAACCCTGTCTCGATGAAGAGGGTTGGAGACAAGCACCAAAGCACTGAGCGAGAGAGAGAGAGAGACACACACAGGCACTCAGACAGAGACAGACAGTCATGAAGTTGTTTTCCTCTCAGACTTATGCCAGGCAGAAACATCACTGAACTTTGCCATCCAAAAGCCCTAAACCCAAATGAGCTTCTTTCGAACCCCTTCCCTGCAAATCCCTGGAATCTCCCATCCGATACCCTCCACAACCACCGTCGACTGGCAGCTTGAAGAGGCCGCTTTTCAAGGCCTCTGCACGCCGAGCAAGACCACGGACCAAGCCCAGGTAAGGTGAGCAGGCCTGCAGGGATTCCACAATTCCTTCCCACACAGGGCTGCAAAAGTGTGAAGAAAACGTTTAAACCGCAGAGTGGATTTCTGCAGGTCTGCGAGTCCGGACGGCGAACTCTTTCGGCGCTCTTCTGCTCCCCTCTGCTCCCTTCTGCCTCCGCGGAGCTGCCCTCAGCGCCCCAGCCCTGTGAGTAGTCGAACCAACAGCGTGCCGCTGCCAGTTGGTTGTACATCCTGACATGAGGAGCAGAAGAGCATGCTCTGGAACGTTCTGGGAGGCAAGGGCCGTGGTGCTGAGGGTCTGCTACCCACTAGGAGCGCCTGAACTCTCAGCAGACGAAACAAGTTCGCTCCATGTCGCACCCTCTCCTCAGTTGGGAGGTGCCTCAAGGCCCACCCGAGAACCCCAGTACTTGGGCTGTTGAAGCCCCAAAGTTGCGCAACTCAAGTGCTCAATCCCTCTAGCCAAGATCGTTGCATGTTCCAAACCGAGCATCTGCTTCAGCTGCCCGACGCGAACACTCTTCAGGCGTGCGTGCAGCTCAGCCATGTCAATGGAGCTAGGAACCTTGGGGTTGGAGATTGACGACCAGGAGGTTTTAGGGTATTTCACGACTTGCAAGCGGATTTGCTTGCTGCAGACATGGTTGGCCAAATAGTTGCCCAAGGCGGCTCAGCGGCGCAAGTTTTAGCAATTTTAGCCGTAACAGTGCCATCGCACTTTTACTACTAGGCTATTTTTTAAATGCTGAGTTTCTGACTACCGGAGCTCCTGACGGAATACGCCTAAGCCACGTTGGAAGTCATTTTCCACAAGTGATCCCCAAGTGTGCATGCATGGCTTCCTCAGTCAGCACGGGTTTTTCCACACTGCGGGTTCACCTTCAAGGTGCTTCGAGGCATGTACAAACGTTCGATTCTGGAACTTTCCGACGTTGATCAGTTGAGTACGGCACGGAGTTCACACCGAGTTCAGCAGTTCTGCGCCCTTTCGTGCCGGGATTTCAGAGCTCGGGAACCCGGAGTGGGCGATCCTAACAAACCCCATCATCTCCTGATGATTTCTGCTGGACTGAAACCGTATAAACTCATCAGGCCAACATTTGAACACGCAAGCCGAAACTTCTTGACACCAGCCGACCCCGAATATATCCTAATATCGTCACGCAGTTGGCCATGCTGAGGCAAGACACTTTGAAGGAGAGCTTCGGCCAATCGATCTCATCTTCGAATGGCACGGACACCTTGCCGAGAGCCCCACGGACACAACGCGTATGATACACTTAGCACCTCACCCCAATGCCTCCAGGTCCAGATTCGACTGTATGCCCATTTGACAGGCAATGAGCGTTGCTGCTCACTGCGGTTCACCAAGATAGGTTTTGCGAGTTGGATTTGAGATGAATGGGGCCACAACCCCAAGCCTTGAGTTCTCTTGCAAAACTGGGCCATCAACTCTCGGCGAAAACCCCGCCTCATCAGAGAGAAGTACCGGGATGCATCCGAAAAAGAAGGACTCGTACAGGTGAATGGTCCAAGCCTCTTGCAAGAGTGGCACCTACATACCCACGACCACTGTTCTACCAGTGCAGCGAAGGTCATCCTCAAAAAGCGCAGCTTGCATCCTGAACTCCCTCCCCCGCCAAATGTTCCTGGACCCCCTTTCCAAAGTCAGGATATGGCTCCCCGAGAAAAAAAAAAAGAGCCTCTGCTTCAACCCGGGACACTCACAAGATCCTGACCCAAACTCTCCGTCGGAGCTGCCGTGAGCCCGGCCGGGATGAGGCAGAAGCGGCTGAGCCCAGACCGCCTGAGCGCCACTGTGACGGCTACGAATTGAAAACCACCCAAGAAATTCACCCGTCAGCCGACATGCTCTCTCCCAACGAAAGCGTTCAGAGCACACCAAACGCCCGAGGCTCTAACCCCCTCAACCTTCCCCCAAGGGCCTGAAGTAATCCTTGATTGGTGGCCCGGCACTGCTCAGTGGGTCCTTCCTCGGCTGCACGAAGGGTTGCAGAGGCATTGAGTGCAGATGTGTAGCGAGGCATAGCGTTTCAGAACTCAGGGTTGAAGAGCTTCTGCTGCACCATCGGGCCCGTACTGTGGGGTTGGAAAGTTAGTCTAAGGCGTGCAGTGCATCACACAGGCTTTCGGGCAGCAGGCCGCTTGATAAGGATCAGAACACAGGGCGATAGCTAAACTCTTACCAAAGCCTTCCGTGCACTGCTACACTCGGAGGTCTAGACTGCAGAACCACCCGACTCTTCAACTCAGCACCTACCCACCACACAAGCTGGCGTCTGGCTTTCGTAGCCGAGCTTCCCGAAGAACTCCACCACGCGATCGCGTGTCTGATCGAGGCTTTGCGGGGCTTGTCTGGGATTTGAGATTTTGTCGCATTGTCATCAAAGTAAGCCTGGAGAGGCTTGCTCCACCAAGGCTTCTTACATGGTGCCAACCCCAAGAACGATTAACGGCCCACATGAGGGGAGACCTCAAGATTCATCCCTTGTCAGAGGCCGTCATTGCGATCCGAACCATCCGAACCTTACCCGTCCCACTGCCATACATTCCTAGCAAACCGTGCCTCAGCCAGTGGGCTTCGCCGGTACATGTGGCCCACTGAGGGGCTGCTCCCTCGGCCACAGAAAATCGCATCTACTCAACTGCACTGGCTGCAAGTCACATGCTTGGTATTTGGGAATAAATGATCCAGAAAAAGGTTATGACCCCTTGCAGCTAAGTTACCCTACTTACAGCCCCAGTGAAAGCCCTCACCCCCCTCGCCCTTGGTGCTCTTTGCTGGAGAAGCTTGGGGTTTACAGGTTCGGGGGTGACCCAACATTTGGGGCATTAGAAACGTGAGGGGGCTTAGAATCTGAGAGCCTGCGTGAACCCTGTATGTTTGGGTTTAGGGCGTCTAGGGCGTCTAGGGCGTTTAGGGCGTTTAGGGCGTTTAGGGCGCTTAGGGCGTTTAGGGCGTTTGGGGCGTTTGGGGTGTTTAGGGTGTTTAGGGTGTTTAGGGCGTTAGAAGAGACTGTGGCATGTTTTGGTTGGACATTTCGGGAGACAGAACAAGGCCACCACATTGACCCAGAAGGTTGCATCAGTGAAGGTTCCCGTGAGGAGATAAGACAGGCTCGGCATTCGGCATTCGGCATGCCACAGTGCCACCTCCTGCCGAAATGCCCACGAGCGAGCACGGAGATACACGCGACCCCAACTCCCACACTCCGATCCCTTTACACAAAACACCCTCTGACTTCGTTCCGGGCATCTGGTATGGCCATGGAAGATCGCAAGTATGGAGCGCTGGATCACCGGTCGGTTGAAGGCCAACATGGCTGTCAGCCCTGAGCACTGAGTCGTGGCTTGTCAACAGACTCACGGAAAGTTTGGCCACCTTCTGCTTACCCTAAGGCTTGGGATGTCCCGATTGCCTGTGCCCCTGGCACTACGCATGTGTTCTGCTCTTAGACATATCCGAAGATGTTGAACATTTCGGCAAGCCGCTCCATTTCGGTATGTAGCCAGGGATGAGCACATCCTCCACACTGCATGACTCCGCTGGGTCAGCTGACAAGCACCCACGGCGTCTGACGTTTAAGACTTAAGGTAGGTTCCCGAGGCTTTGCTGGCCCTCCTTCAAACCACCCAACTCCATTTTTTCGACTCGAGCAGAGAAAAAAACAACAACAAGCTCGAGGGCTGGGACAAACCTCATCGACACATGGCTCGGCTTCACCGGGTCACCGGAACACAGACATCTGGCTTTCAGCTCAGGGGGGCCACAGAGCCAGCTGGTGGGGCCTCTCACCTGTTTCTCTGCTGGCAGAAAGACTCAAGACCGAATGCTGGTCAGTCTCCGCCACCCCTTGTTCCCCCAAGCCAAAGCCTAAACCTTCCTAGCTGCAGCAGCTAACGGTTAGGGCCTACACCCCGCTCCTATCTGCAGCGGTTAGGGAACTACCCCACCAAACCAAAAAACCTTCCTATCCGCAGCAGTAAGGGCTTCAAACCCCTTTCCCTCCCCCGCCTCTGCCCTCCTTACTTCAGCCTATTTCTTTGACATAGCCTTGATTAT